ACCCAACACTGCTGTCCTCCACTCCTCAACCCCCTTCCACCAAACACTGCCGTCCTCCACGCTTCATTACCCCCTCCATCCATCACTGCTGTCCCCCACAACCCCCACGATTGGACACTGCTGTCATCCACTCATCTCCCTCCCTCACCACCCACCCTTCATCCAACACTGCGGTCCTCCACTCCTCACCCCCAAACCAACACTGCTGTCCACCACTCATCACCCTCCCACTGCTGTCTTCCACACCTCAATCTCCCTTTCATCCAACATTGCTGTCCTCCACTCCTCACTAAACCCCCAAATCCAGCTCTGCTGTCCTCCACTCCCCACTATAACCCCCAATCCTGCACTGCATTACCTCCTCCAACACTGCCGTCCTCCACTCTTCACCCCCCTCTAATCCAGCACTGCTGTCCGCCACTCCTCAAACCACCCCCCCTCCATGGGACTCTGCTGTCCCCCACATCAAACACTGCTGTCCCCTACTTACTCATCTGACATTGCTGTCCCCCACTGCCTCCCAGATACTGCTGTCCCACACTACTGTCCCCCACACCACACTTGGAAGGGGCACACATTGTTAGGTGGAATTAAAAGCTCTTGGAGCACAAACATTCAAAGTGGCGATGTCACCGCTCCTGTCCCACCACCGGAAGACTTCCGGTAAGATTTCAAGATGGTGCACAGATTTCCAGAAAGGCAGCCGTACCAATTCAGACTGTAAAGTGTTTAATGATTGTTCAACAGTAATAAACAGGCTACAAAAACCTGACAATATAGTACATACTGCCAAAGACGAGAGATGCCGATTGTCCACAGCGGTCCCGTACTGAAAATGGCTGAGGGCCAATTCACACCAACGTGCTGCATCTAACCAGCGTACAACGCATGTGTACCTTAGTGCACTACAATGCTGGGGTGCATCAGGGTGACAGACGCTGCAGATCCATCAAAACCTGGGTTGTGGCGAGTTAATGCATGTGCCACCTTAACGCAACGCATGTCAACACTCCAACACAGCACACCAGTGTGAATGGGCCCCGAAGGTTTATTGTTGACTGACACATGGGCCGTACTCGGAATCTGCAGGAAGCAGGGCAGTGATAAAAGATCCCTGTCCGCGGGCAAAGGAGTCACCGTACATTGTCATTAATAAAATACTTGAAAGAAAGTAAATAACCAGTTCTAAGTATCAAAAAGTAAAAGGAACTCTAAAACGAGGTGATGAGCCGGTCGGCTGCCATTTTGTCTCCGGAAGAGGCTGGTAGAACTCAGTTCTTTAAATAAAAACTTGTCGGTCAGTCATTGGCTTCAGGGTCTGCTTGAGCCATGTACGCGTCTAGCTCAGCGTCCAGGTGGCCCTTCGTCTTGGACATGTAAGCGTCCAACTGGTTGTCCAGCTGCTCTCGGGTCAGCACGGGGCGTGTGGCTCCTCTTCCTCTACCACGGCCTCGTCCTCGGGTGAAGCCACCTCTGCCCCGAGCGATTACACCCCCACGGCCTGAGGACAAAATGGAGGAAGTGATTGATTAGGGAAATGGGGGTACACAACACACAGGATAGGCATCATTACAGGGTCTCTAGGTAAAGAGCCCACACGTTGAGCATCATTTACAGGGTCTCTAGGTACACAGCCCACAGGATAGGCATCATTTATGGGGTCTCCAGGCACACAATAGTAAGGAACCAATAAAAGATGCCCAACCTGTGGATTGTTTATCTAGGAATCCCGTAAAAGAAGTCTAACCTAGGTATGCAGCCCACAAGTTGAGCATCATTTATGGGGTCTCTAGGTACACAGCCCACAGGACGGGCATCATTCATGGGGTCTCTAGGTACAATAGTTCGCAATCCATAAAAGATGCCCAAGCTGTGGGTTGTTTACCTAGGAACTCCGTAAATGAGATCTAACCTAGGTACACAACCCACAGGTTGGGCATCATTTATGGGGTCTAGGTACACAGCCCACAGGTTGGGCATCATTTATGGGGTCTAGGTACACAGCCCACAGGTTGGGCATCATTTATGGGGTCTAGGTACACAACCCACAAGCTGGGCATCATTTATGGGGTCTAGGTACACGGCCCGCAAGTTGGGCATCATTTATGGGGTCTAGGTACACGGCCCGCAAGTTGGGCATCATTTATGGTTCTCTAGGCACACAATAGTTCCAAAACCATAAAAGATGCCCAACCTGTGGGTTGTTTACCTAGGAACCCACGTAAATGAGGTCTAACCTAGGTACACAACCAACAGGTTGGGCATCATTTATGGGGTTCCTATGATTAAGGGTCACACAAGTGAAAGAATTCACAAGTTGAATATGCCCAAGGCCACTTGGTCACTTCACCTTCTCAGGATGCCTCAGCTCAGCCATAAGGACTATGATACAATAGTGAACACAAACTTGGCCCACCGCAAAAAAACCTGCGTTCACCTCAGAGCTCCTGAACCCTAGGAAGGACGTGTCGCCAAATAGAGGTTCCAAGCTTAAGAACCCTCAAAATGCAACCAGCAAAGCCACTTGATGAAGCTGACCCCACAACTTCCTAATCCATCGTTATGGCTGACCAGTGGTGAGGCAGAAGAGTTGGACAGGGCCAGACTGGCAGCTAAAGACAATATTCGCCCAGCAGAACAATTTGTGTTTCAGCGGGTCCTGAGAGCTCTACAAGGTATTTTTGGGCACCTTCCTTACACCCCCACCTGAGGCTGGCATTGAAGCAGGACCCGTTTAGAAATGTGTCCCACAGGTTGGGCATCATTTATGGGGTCTAGGTACACAGCCCACAGGTTGGGCATCATTTATGGGGTCTAGGTACACAGCCCACAGGTTGGGCATCATTTATGGGGTCTAGGTACACAACCCACAAGCTGGGCATCATTTATGGGGTCTAGGTACACGGCCCGCAAGTTGGGCATCATTTATGGGGTCTAGGTACACGGCCCGCAAGTTGGGCATCATTTATGGTTCTCTAGGCACACAATAGTTCCAAAACCATAAAAGATGCCCAACCTGTGGGTTGTTTACCTAGGAACCCACGTAAATGAGGTCTAACCTAGGTACACAACCAACAGGTTGGGCATCATTTATGGGGTTCCTATGATTAAGGGTCACACAAGTGAAAGAATTCACAAGTTGAATATGCCCAAGGCCACTTGGTCACTTCACCTTCTCAGGATGCCTCAGCTCAGCCATAAGGACTATGATACAATAGTGAACACAAACTTGGCCCACCGCAAAAAAACCTGCGTTCACCTCAGAGCTCCTGAACCCTAGGAAGGACGTGTCGCCAAATAGAGGTTCCAAGCTTAAGAACCCTCAAAATGCAACCAGCAAAGCCACTTGATGAAGCTGACCCCACAACTTCCTAATCCATCGTTATGGCTGACCAGTGGTGAGGCAGAAGAGTTGGACAGGGCCAGACTGGCAGCTAAAGACAATATTCGCCCAGCAGAACAATTTGTGTTTCAGCGGGTCCTGAGAGCTCTACAAGGTATTTTTGGGCACCTTCCTTACACCCCCACCTGAGGCTGGCATTGAAGCAGGACCCGTTTAGAAATGTGAATGATTTTGCCATTAGGGAAATGTGTTGGTAAATACAGATTTTAGGTAGCAAAGAGAAGGGCGACCAGTTCCATCTTTCAATCCCAACAGGTCCTGCTTAAAATTCTTCATGAAGCCCCACTAAGCTGGCAGAGCACCTCAGGTCTTTGATCCGGGGAAGAAAAGACTTGCCATGCCCCCTAGCTTTTGCTAGTGGCTCCATCAGAGTGATGTGCAGGTTCACGAATAGCCCGGCATAGACCCAATTCTCCTACTTCTTAGCCCAAGTCTAAATTTAGCAGAATTTGGGTTCTCCAGGATGGTCTGTAGACTGGAGGTGCATACATAGAAAAAAAGGACTTGTGTTCCATGCTACCCCCTACTGGTGGGACAATGGAATGCAAATACCAACCTCTTCCACCTACACCACCACGGTTCATGGGTCCCCCTCTTAGTCCCCCTCTTCCAACAATTCCACGTCCTCGGAGGCCACCTCTCCTCATTCCAATCCTTGGGACGCCACCGCGGCCTCGGAGGTTTTGCCCTGCACAGAACGGGTTAGCGGTCAGTCATCGTAAAGAGAGGTTCCCAAATTGTATTTATAATTTAAATTGGCCACAGCTGACCAACCTCTCATGCTCATTGCTCCCCTTGGCATTCCTCTGCCTCCCCGGCCGGCCCGCATCATGCCACGCTGGGAGCCACGAAGTCCCATACCACCTCCTCTCATGCCGCCAGCTCCTCGCTGCAGGCCTCCCGCCGGTCTCCCTAACCGGGCCTGGATGTTACTCTTTCCCAGCCGCTGCTTCAAGCTCTGTCAGGACAGGGAGAAAAGACAATTATTAAAATTAAGGATGTCCATACGTCTGAGGGGGCCGAGCCAACAAGCATCTCGTAGGATAGATCTCCAGTTAAAAAGAAAGGTTTCTGAAAAAAAAAAAAAGTCAACATCTCAAGGCTGCCTTTATGGATACGACTGGGATAGAAGTGGACCTTGCACTTCAGACAATGTATGCTTATTCATGTGGGAACCTCCTGCCGACAAGGTCTCTGGAAATGGCAAACAGCCCAAATCTCACATGAAGATATCATGGGACCACACCAAATATTCTCATCACATCACCCGCCATCATATGGGACACCAACTATTCCACTACATGCAGACTATGCCCATCACTGTACACATCCACTACTATATGGGACAACTATGCCACTTTATATCAATTATTCATATCACATCATCCGCCATCATATGGAACCACACCAACTATTCATATCACATCATCCTCCATCATATGGAACCACGCCAACAATCCCTATCACGTCATCCGCCATCATATGGAACAACACCAACTATTCATATCACATAATCCGCCACCATATGGAACCACACCAACTATTCCTACCACGTCATCCGCCATTATATGGAACCACGCCAACTATTCCCATCACGTCACCCGCCATCATATGGAACCACACCAACTATTCCTACCACGTCACCCGCCATTATATGGAACCACGCCAACTATTCCCATCACGTCACCCGCCATCATATGGAACCAAACCAACTATCCCAATCACACCATCATATGGAACCACACTAACTATTCCTACAACACCATTATATGGAACCACACCACCTATTCCTACCACACTATACACCTCCATTTGAAAATACAACAACTATTCCCCCCATATCATACGGGACCGCCCCGACTATTCCCATCACATCACCGGCCATCATATGGGACCACAACGGCTATTCCCATCACTGTACACAGCCACCGTCATATGGGGCCACACTATTTACAGACTATTCCTATCACACCATCCGGCCATCATATGGGACCACACCAACTAAGTCACAATATAAAAACTATTGGCATCACAACCGCCTCCATCTTATGGGACCACACCAACTATTCCACTACATGCAGACTATGCCCATCACCGCACACATCCACTACTATATGGGACAACAACTATGCCACTTTATATCAACTATTCTTATTACAACATCCCCATTATATGGAACCACACCAACTATTCCCATCACACCATCCGCCATCATATGGAACCACACCAACTATTCCCATCACACCATCCACCATTATATGGGACCACACCGTTTCCCATCACATCATCCACCATCATATGGGACCACACCAACTATTCAACTATATACAGACTATTCCCATCACACCATCCACCATCATATGGGACCGCATCAACTATGTCACCATATGAAAACTATTGGCATCACAAGCGCCTCCATCTTATGGGACCAAACCAACCATTGGTAAGAGGTTCCCCAATATACAGCACATGGATGGCTGAGCACCAGGGAACATGAGCAATATACGGTGCCCTGTGCATTTAAGGTAAATGTATACCCTTCTAAACCATGACAAAAACCATCTTCCCCAAGTTCCTGTAGATAATCAAAGTCCCCAGAACTCTTGAACAACCGGTCACATGGTGCCCTCTGAGAAGTAGCAGTCAACCAACCTTCCCCTACAGCAGTGGTTCTCAAACTGTGTAACCTCAGGACCCACATTTGTCCTTGGTCATTAAACTGACATTAAAACCTCAGATTTTTTTAACATAAACCAATACTGTAATGTGTGCCTTACTGTAATCCATGGTTGTTTCCCTTCTCTATACTGCTCCTCCTTTTAAATCTGTATCTCTTCTCATGCTGGGCAGAACTTCTGTTTTGCAGCAGACTGCCTTGTCTCTGGAATGGATACATGGTGTCTGTGTATAGGTTCAAAACCTGAGCCAACACTACAGGAAGAGGCACTCGGCTGCAAAGGGAAGTCCTCCCCAAGCATGAGAAGACATGGAGGATTTAAAAGAGCAGCAAAGAGAAGGGAAACAACCATGGATTACAGTAAGGCACACATTACAGTATTGGTTTATGTTAAAAAATCTGAGGGTTTAATGTCACTAAGTCATGACCCAAGTCACACTGCAATAGAATGGCAACACAACACCTCCCACACCTGAGTGCATAGTAGGTGCGATTGCATGGTACAGTGCGTTAATCACACAGGACTGTTCAATTAATGCACTGTACTAATGTGAAAGGGCCCTCAAAAACACTGACAGACACCCACACACAACCACAGACAGAATCGCACACACAGCCTCCCTACCTTACGAGTACTGGAGTGGATCCTCCAGCCTGGGGTCCGGTGTGGGCTGCTGTGCTGTGACTGAGCTGCATTCATGTGTGCATTGCTTGTACAACCCCCTAGCGTGCCCTGTAGAGCTGAAGGGAGCCAGAACGTGATGTCATCGTGGTCCAGGCACCTCTACAGGACATGCAAGGAAGCTGTAAGCAATTCATGTATGGATGGAACTCCGTCGCGACCATGCCTCCAGCCCACCCCACCTTAAGCTGACACTCGGCGCCGAGCAGCATACGAATGGCTGCTTGGTGCAAGAACTGACAGTGCTGCGCTAGGAGGCGGCCGCGAAGCCTCTCACCTAGAAAAGTGTGAGGCATGCGGCGACCCACTGAATATGGGTCATGTGTTGAGAACGACACAGCACTTGAGAACCAAGGCTCTACAGCATAGACCATGTGTCCAATGCCTCGGCTTTGGTGATATAATTGGCACCAGAGTCCAGAAAAGGGCCATGGGATTTAGAACATACTATAGCAGCACACTAGGGTTCTCACTTCCCTTGCTGCTTGCTTGTTTCATGCCATTGATCCAAAGCAATGTATAGACAGACTAGTCTTCAGCAGGAGTCAGTAATAACCCTATATTTCTCTCAAGACAGATTTAGGCCAAGATGTGTATAGTTCTGATTTCAGGGACACTAGCCAATACTTTCTGATGATTCCATACATTGAGACTCTAGTTTGCCAGTGTTGCACCCTTTCCATACCCATGAAAAACAAGAAGGTGCTCTTGTATGATAATAAGTCTACTGTTCGCTGTAATACATGATAAAAGATTCTGAAGAGTAGTTTTCAGCAAGCAAACAGGGCGTTCGATAACTCATTAAAAGACCAACTCCCGCCAATAACCTGACCGGGGTTAACCTTCCCTTTACTCCAGGCAACCTCATCCTGCAGGCTCTCTCCTACATCCTGTTAGTTTATATGTTGGGATTAGTAGGGCTCCCATTGTACTTCCGGGGCACTCGAATGCAAGCGCTGCAGGTCTTATAGACGTCAGTGCCGAGGTTGTGCAGCCACCCTCCTAACTCCCAGGTCATGTAGCCGCCCCCTCACCTCCAGACCAGTCACAATACAAAGCCTGAGGCTGATTGAGGAGATGGGGTGACATTTAAACAAGCAGATTTGCAGGACACAGGAGAAAGCCTGCATGACAGGTTCCCTTTGAGGAAAAAGAATGTTCATCTGCTTTAACCCTGGTAAGGCCATCGTGCCAGCTGTTGGGCTCTAACCACCTCCCGTCCATTGGCCGCACCTAAACGGCTGGACGGGAGCCTTGTAGATGCGGGTGGGCGTTCTAAGACGTCCCTCCTCGCCCACACTCACGGGGCGCTGGGCCAAGAGGCTTTTTTCCAAGTCTCCTACATAGCATTTTATACCAAGCCAAGGGTTACAAACGTATCCACATACAGACAACATTTATCTCTGTCCCCTTACACCCTCTGTCTATTCCCCAAATCAGTCTACACCAATCGTTTTCTACTACTTTGTACAACTTGTTAAGACTTGCGTCATGAAAGAAAACTATCCTGATCGGCCTACTCAATAGAGCGAGTCTTCAAAGACAAGGCAATAACTGAGAAATTGCCAGCAGCTCTGGACCTGGAAAGCGCAAGCAATCTTAAGCCCTCATTCACACGGCCGGCCCGTACAGATCCATGCTGCGTGCACGGCCGTATCAGGCAGCTCCCAGGAAGGACAGGTGCTGCGTGTGATTTGTATGCAGCAGCCTGTCCTCTATGGGAGTATGCCGCCCTGCGCTCACCGGACCTGAACGTGCGCGCGGGTGTCCGTACTCGCACGCAGACAGGATGGATCCTGTGCGTCCGAGCAGGGATACCCGCACCCATACAGGTCCGGTGAGCGCAGGGCGGCATACTCCCTTAGAGAAGGACTAATCACACGCAGCACCTGTCCGTCCCGGGAGCTGCCCGATACGGCTGTGCACGCAGCATGGATATGTACGGGCCGGCCATTAACCGTGTGAATGAGGGCTAAATGAAGAAAAATAGGACACCATCAAAAACTGAGACATGCTGGGAGTAGGAGCCATCCTGGGCTGGACTACTTTGGTCAGTATCCAATCCACCCGTAGGCAGCAGTATAACCCAGCAGTTCATGGCTATGTTCCCTAATGGATGGGAAAGGACCCGTCTCTACAACTGCAGTCCCATATAAAATCCTGAAAGTTTGGTTTGCTGTTCTGATGTAATAAGAATGTTTATTTGTAAACCAACACAAGATGTCTTCAGCTGCCTTCTGCATTCCATTATATAGGAGGAATGGAAGCCTCCAGCTATACCTCCTCCTGTTTAATTCCCTATGTATAGTAAATATACGTCCCAATGAGTCACTCACAGTCATACATGACTGAGGTCTTTTTTTAACCTACAAATAGATGAGGCAGGTTCTCTTTGTTGCCCGGCAGATCCGAATGTTGGAGGGCTTTGAATCGGAAGTTGAATCAGCACCACCAAGGCCACTTTTAAACTGATGAGGCAGCTGCCACTTTCCTGCCTATGGGAGCAGACTGGGGAGTGGCCATGGTGTAGACAATGAGGGGGCCGGGCCTTTTCAGGGATCACTTTGGCACGGTCCCCATTTCTACAAAAGGTAGAGGACGCACCCCAGGACAAAGACACGTATAGGAGCTCCTCACCTTTCTACAAATAGCTCTGGGGCAGATGACACACCTCTGGGACAGAGGTAAAGATATTTGTATGAGGCACATTTACCTCTTGGCTTAGTACAAGAATTAGGACTTTAACCTCTTGCTGTCCGCCCGTAGTAAAAAAAACAGACGGACGGCACTGCAGCATCTGCGGGTTGCCGTCTCCAGACGGCAATTTTTTTCTGCTCGCGCGCGCCCCCTAGCGGGCACGCACGGGCAGAAAAGACCCGCTAAATGCACACACCCGTTACCGGGTGTTTCACATATAGGCGATCGGCGGGTCCATAGCCCGCCGATCGCCTAATATCTCCATAAAGAGGACCTGTCAGTGTGCCTTTGCTATTATATAGGGGGTTGTTATCCCCCTATATAATAGCAATAACAATAAGTGCAAAAAAAAAATATAAATAAAAAAAAAGAAAAGTAACACATAAAAAAATAAAATAAAATAAAAGCCACATATAAAAAAAGGGGAAAAAACCCCCCCAAAATGTTTAACTCCCCCACCCCCACGTTTACGCGCCTATAAACGTAAATACGCGTCCGGTGCCCCAGCGCGCAAAAATTACAATTGCGCTACACATGTTACATATCGCCGCGAACGTCGCAGTGAGAGCAATCATTTTAGGGCCATCAATCACTGATAACACTAAACTGATGAGCGGTAACAGCTTTTAAAGCGTCGCCTAGGGCCAATTTTGGGTATTATCGTTTTTTGAGGTTTCGCGCGCGCACGCAATTTTAAGGCTTGACATGTTTAGTGTCTTTTTACCCGACGTGACCCCATCTTTTATATTTTACCAAAAAATTGGGTAATAATAAATGTTTTATCATTTAATATAGGGGAAACTGTTTTTTTTTTTAAATTTCGGTAATTTTTCCTTAATATAGTAAAAAAATAAAACCCCCAGTGGTGAATAAATACCACCAAAAGAAAGCTCTATCTGTCCCCAAAAAAGGGTATAAAATTCATTTCAGTACAGCGCTGCATGACGGAATAAATGTCAGTCAAAGTACCGCAGCGCTGAATACTGAAAAATGGCCTGGATGGGAAGGGGGTTTAACACCGCGGATGTCAACTGGTTAAAGGCACAGTCCACCTTTCAAAAAAAAGGGCAACATGGATTTTATAATCAATGAGCATTTACTAGTTTTCCTGCGCCGAAGTCTGCATAACATTGGACCCACAATCAGTGGGTCATGGGTGCAATGCACAGGCTCTTGCAGTGTTTACCCTCGGCCACAGTCCCTCGGTACAGACCATCTGTTATAGAGCTGGACCACAATTCTGGTGACTGCTCTGCAGAGTCCCTCTCCCTCAGTGGCCTATGGGACTTGCAATATTTACCACTGACGGGTCCTGGACCTTTGTGAAAGGGAGGGGTGTGTGGATTTTGCAGCTGGGGTATGAGCCCATGATTCATACTGCCCCTAAATCTGGATGCCACATGGTCCAAAAGGTGGACTGAGCCTTTAATCTTATGGATAACATTTTGCACAGAATACTTCACAGCCAGAACTCAAATGACCTTCATACAGAACCTGCAAAAGAAAACAAGTCAGGACCTTGAATGCAACATAAACTTCTCATAAATTGGACAAACGCTCCACGCACACACCGGCCTTCTGAGCTCAGTGGGGACGATCTCATTTACTTACACCGGCCAGATGTGGAAACTGAAAGAAAGATGGCCGCTCTTACTCTACTTTTGAAAATTTTGGACGCAAATGGTTATTTTGTCACCTCCGCTAAATTA